TAGTAGTAGTAGTAGTAGTAGTAGTAGTAGTAGTAGTAGTAGTAGTAGTAGTAGTAGTAGTAGTAGTAGTAGTAGTAGTAGTAGTAAGTAAGTAAGTAGTAGAGAGAGAGAGAGAGAGAGAGAGAGAGAGAGAGAGCTTTTTGAGAGAGAGAGCTTTTTCTTTTTATTGTCTCTTATTTACTCTTGATGGTGCGTAAGGAGGTTTCGACTCCCAGTGTACATACTTCCTCTTGCTGATTTTTTCTCATATTTTTTTTTGTTTCTCTCTCTAAAACACGGCAGTTTTGCTGGTTAATGGCGATCGGTAATTTTCAACTGCGTCAGAATGTGAGCTCAAATGGGCCGCCATCTAGAGTTTCCTTGGAGACATTCATTTGCTTCCATGACACATAGCTCTCTTAGCCCCATCAGTCATATTCAAAGCATCCCATCAATGTTAGCTGGATCCAAGAAATATGACATAAAGATGGCCCTAGCCTCTAGCTCCAAGGACTCCCCACCTTGGGTTTAGTATTTGTTATATTTACGATTTGTTGGTTGAAATTCATGATTAAAAAAAAAATGTCGAGAGCCTTTTGTTATACAACTTCTAGTCTGCTTAATCTGGGCCTCAAGTTGAAGATATTTTTAGTGCCAGAATCTCTTATTTTTTTCGCATCTCTTGCTATTAGGTTTCATCCAGTAGAGTATCTAACTGCATCATATTTCTCTCTCCTTCTCCAGTTCTTGAACTTCTAGATGCCACTGATTCAAGTGCATCTTCATTGTAGGATTTGTCTGGGTTCTCTTATTGACGCCAGTCACCTGGATATCAATAAAGATTGTCTGATGCCTGTGTACTTTAGTAGTTGAGATTTTGGGAACTTCTAATTGTAATATTTGGCTAATGCATATTGTTTCTCTTGTAAAGTTGCGGTTCTTTTCTGAATGGTGTCCTTTGTGTGTGTGTGTGTGTGTGTGTGTGCATGCATGCGTGCGTGTGTTGGCATTTTTTTTGGGGGCGGGGTGGTGGGGTTGTTTAAAGATTCTTAGCAGGCCATTTTCTTAGCTTCACAGTTGAACAGAACTTGATATCATATTATATATGTGTATATAAATGGACCTTGGTGTCATATTATATATGAGCATATAAATGGAAGTTGATTTCTGTCTAGAAGTCATGGAACTTATGGTAACTTCCCGCAGGCCAATTGCAAACATACAGTTTGCCCCAACCTTGTTCTCCATTTATGTGCAATCAGATTAACTAAGTTTTGAATTTCAACTTTTTACTTTTTAAATAGAACAAGTGGAATACTAGAAATAACTAAACTTAAAATATTAGAGGGTTTTTGGCAAACTTTATCTTGGATGAGGTTAAAGATGGTAGGAAATCATAATAGTAAGTTCTGGTTTCCTGTGGGCGTGCACTATTTACATAAAACCAACGTGTTGCTTAAGGTAAAAGTTTTACAAACATCTTCTTTCTTTCCTCATTTAACTCACAAAGTCGGCAGACCCACACGAAGTCTGTTAGTTTTCCACAGCGTACAAACACCCTTCATAGTGCTGCGAAGAATTCAAGTGAGTCCTGTAGATATTTGTCTCTATGAGGCACCCTACGTTTTGATGATTTCATGTCCTTTAACCAGCACAATGAGTTGAGGGGAAGTCAATTTGTGTGTGCCCCAAGTCGAAGGCTGAAGTCTCTAAAATTGGTTAAACTTTAAACGCTAACCCAAAGCCCTGTAGTGTGAAGTAAGATTAATTGGTTTCATTGTTCACATGGAATTAATCTTTGTTACTCTTTTTAGCTTTCTTCAAGGTCATGCAGAAATATTTATGTATGGTTTGCTCTCTAATGTCCAAACTTCATAAGAAAAAGTCATGTGGGATATTTTTTTATTATGACTTAAACATATTATTTCTATAACTGTGCAGTATTAGCATTTTTTACTTTGCAATGGAAGGGCCAAGTTGTAGCTTCTCCTCCCAGTATCGTGAGCTTGGCAAGGTGGTGAGGGTCCCTTTCCAAAAAGGAATCAATCAAAAATTTCGTCAAACCTCTGGAACTGGCATTGATCTTGGCTTCTTCGACTATGATGATCTTTCAAAACCTTCACCTGATGAAGCCTTTCCCCTTGTTATACGTGCTCAGGCTCACCACACAACTGCTGATGCTTCTATTGAGCACCAGCCTGGTGATCCTCTACCCATTTCAGTGCATGCTCAAATAACCAAAGCAGTTATCGAGATGAAGGATGGGGCAACATTTCAAGTGAAGGTGGCTAAGCAAATACTCTGGGTTGATGGAGTTCATTATGAGTTGCAAGAGATTTATGGTATGGGAAACTTATCGGTGGCAGAGTTTGACAATGATGATCAGGGGAAAGAGTGTGTGATTTGCATGTCAGAGCCAAGGGACACAGCTGTCTTGCCATGCCGACACATGGTGAGAAGTTAAGAGTACTATTTTTTATTTTTGATGGTGTACTATGGAAAAGCATAGTCCATTAGGGCGATCGCCATCCATTGAGATGATGGATGGTGGTCAACAGATTCTGGGATCCACCATTTGGATCTTGTCTTCCTCTCGTGGGTCTCTCTCTGTCTCTATCACTGCCTGTCATTTCAATCGATGGTGATGACTCAATGGACGATGGCTTTTTCATGGTCCTGGCGATTAAATTCTATTTTCTTCTGAGTTTTTCCTTACTAATATTTATTCTGAATCGTAATGAGTTTTTGTGCTTTGGCAGTGTATGTGTAGCGAGTGTGCAAACCTCTTGAGGCGTCAGTCTAACCGTTGTCCAATATGTCGCCAGCCTGTGGACGAAATCTTACAGATAAAGGTGAAAAACGATGAGGCATGAGATTCTAATCTGCCTTGACAAGCTCAAAGCAGCAATATTTCCCCATTCCTTTGTGTACATATTATGTGTGTTTGGATTGAGCTGTTGGTTGTTCAATACAATTCAATCTGGCAATGCACTGCGTTCTTTTGTGGACTCTGTACTGCTCAAATTATAATGGGGACTGCTATATTTCTTGCGCTTGTAATTTGTTAGTGTTACATTATTCGAAATCAGCTCTGTATTTCCAGTTGAAAGAATCTTTCAATTCAACTTAGCTATGTAATTGTGCTTGTACTTCGAAAATTTGGACTTGATATATCGATAAGAAGAAATATACTTTCCCTTGTTGCGATCATAGATTCATTTTTGAGTTGTCAAAGGAATTATAAGCTCTGAGCATTTCATGAGGCCAAATCCTAATCGGATGGAACTGAATTTGCAACCTGTTACTTAGCCAAAAAGAATTTATCACCATCTGTTCATAGGCTCATTGCTTATTTTCGCTTCCAAAATTTGTGTATTTCATTGTGAGCTAGTAAGGGCATTGTATGGGGATGGGCTCTAGGCAAAGGTTGGTTGGCGTGGTGTGTGCAACAATGTGGCATCTAGAGTTCCATTCTTTCCTAGCCTTAAGCTGACATTTAAAGGGTCAAAAAAATGATAAGGGCAATGTAAAAAGTACAAAAATTGACGATTAGAATGTTTCTATATCCCAGCCCTTGTATTTTAGTTCTGAAAATCAACTTGGTTTTTGGTTAGGTGAGAGTCATGTTAGTGATTGCATTTTGTTAGTTGGGATAAGATCTCTAACATTGAGAGGAGAGGAATAGCCCTGGCAGAAAGGAAGCTGCTGTAGTTCAAACATTTTGTTTGGAAGAGAGGAGATACGACTAGGGCTCAAGAGATACTGTTGTAATTCTCAATTGTTGTTGGGTACAGAAAGAGAATACTACAAGAGAGGGTGTTGTGATCCTCATTTCATTACATAACCGAACTTGGGTTTGGGTTATATGTGCATGCTTCATCAGATACATGGGGCTATGTAAATGATAAATTTACTACAATTACACAATGAATACTAGAAATTTGCATGCCTAAGGTTACAATGAGGTATGCAATGCTCTCTGACTTAGATACCCCAACACTTGGACTCTAGTTGATGAACAGACATCGGTTACGCTCAATCTTATGATGAACTGTGGTTGCTGGGCTCCTAGAGGCTTTCTAGACATGAGTAGTTCAAACCTGAAATCACTTTGGAGGTTTCTACTTTCCTAACAAAGGGGCAGCCCACTTCAATGTGGTTGTTTCTTTCATAGAAAATTTGAGGTGATATTTGGAGCTGCTTGGTTATCGCAATGCCTGGAAAAATGGGTTGTTCATAGTAGGTTCAAGGCAGGTCTTTGCACCAGCTCGCTATCAAATACGTGCTTGAGGAGCATCTTAGATGAAATTTTCTGCAACTTCAGGTTGCAAAACATTGCTATGATGACCTTGGTGAGAGGAACCATTGTTATTGTGGAGAGGTATTTCAATGTGTTGGTAATTTTTGGGATTCTTGGGAGTTTCTTGTTAAATTGATCTACATGGCTTGCGTGCCAGTTATAGGCGAATAATAAAGAAGAAATAAGCAGAAAATACAGTACTACTGATATATGTGAGCAACTTTAAATCTTTTGAACACCATTAGCGTAAGAGAACAAATTGTCGGGACGGTGAAGAAAGCACAAAACTCTTGGAATTTTCTTTCCAGTGGTTATGTTTGGTGAGGAATTATACCAAGGAATAATTCGTCGTGTTTGGATTATAATGTTTTTATAAGGTTGTAGATTGCATCTTTATGACCTTCGACTTTTGCATTGAAACAAAATTTGCTGTCTATACCAAGGTTTGAAAAATCGGTGGTATGGATATGAATCTCGATCCAGATCTGTACTTGAAGGGACTCTTCCAATTCTTTTAATATATCAGGGAACCGGCTGGTTCACTGACATATCGACCGATATGCCCATTCTGTTATAAGCGAATTGGCCTGTTCTAAAGTGAACCAGACTATATCTTATTTATTTTGATTTTAAATTTTAATTTTAAATTTTTTTATTTACTTGGTCCCCCAGGTGGACCTTTACCCACCAACACTATAGTACACACGGGACTTATTTATAATGTTTTGAGTCCATTTTCTTGGCCATAATGTGAGATAAAACCTTTTCCATCCCCCCTCTCTTTCTGGTTGTTGTTTGTTCATTTTTCATTGGGCAAACTTCGTTTTTTTATTTGGAGGTAAAATTTTAAGGGTGGGGTTTGTATAAGGTGTCAACCTTATATATTGAAATAAGTTGAGCCTCAAAACCATGCCGAAAATATAATTTCGGTGCCACAAAGCCTTGTAATGATATGAAAATCTATTGTTGCCCCCAATTATGACATTTAAAGTTCTAGAAATGATGACAATCAAGCAGATCTATAAACACTTGAAAAACTTGAAAGTGACCCGTCCAGATAATGTATTAGAAGAACTATTTTTAGGACTAGAAATCCTTTTTTTTTTTTTTCATGTCTATGAATCTCAAGGTCGAGATGATCGATTTGAGGGTTTTCCACATAGGAACAATCTTCACTTGTGGGTTTTGTAAGTATAGTATAGTATAAGGTAGAGACCTTATATAAACTTTTTTCAAATTTTAAATACAACAAATACCAATGGGATTAAATGAGCCAACATCTCTTACCTTTAATAAAACCGTCGTTTTTTCTTATTAAAGGTGATATATATTGGGTTTGTGGTTCTTATTTAAATGATCTAAAACCATTTGAGTGGCCGAATATCTCTCACCTTTAATAAGAACTTTGTTTTTTCTTATTAACCTTTAAGCGGCCCAAATCAAATGTAATTTTAGTAGAATACTATAATTTTGATACTTGAATTCAAAAATTTTATTAAGAAATATAGGTAGCTTTTAGAACTTAAATAAAAAGAAATGGCTTAATTAATTATAACCTATTTCACATCTTTTTCTTAGTTTTAATGATGCATCTTGTTGTATTTTAAAATTTCGGGCTTTGGCGACAATCCCGTGAATATTGAAGTAGAACAGTTGAGTAATAGGTTACTACTAGTAATTTTTTAAAAATAAAGAATCCGATATTTTCAAGAAGAAAATTATTCAACTCAATAAAAAAATTATCTAAGTTAAATAAATGAAGAGCAAGTGAGATCAACATTTTAAAGCAGATAACGAGATATAATTAAAAACAAATAGAAATAAATTGGGTACCTTTAGAGAGATAAATAAATACGACACCTCAAGAGAAATATTCCCAAAAACCTTCTCTCTCATTGAAAGCCATCTCAAGAAAAGACAAAAAGTAGGGGAGAGAACTTTTGATTGAAGCTATGGGGTAGCTGCTGAATCATTGGGTGGAGAAATAAATGCCCATGGAAATGGAGAGAGAGAAAGATTTTTCTTTAAGTTCTAATGGGGTTACTACTGATGCTCCTAAGGTGCAAATTGAAAGTTTGAATGAATTTTATAGGAAGACACGATAGATCTTGGTAGGTTCATTTTGTCCCCCGCTAGATGATACTTTCGGCTTGAGTGATTTGATAAAACGGGATGGGGTCTATCATATTTGCCAGATGTTAAAATATTAGGCAAATGTAGAGCTGCTTTTATATTATGTTTTGACGAAGATGTTGATCGTGCATGGAAGGAGAGATTTTACAGAGTTCGTGGTTCCTTAATGACTATGTTAGAATGGAGACCATCGATGCAATCATCTTTTGTAAAGAGGGATCTTATCTGGATTTGCTTGTGGGGCGTTCCTCTTCAAGTCTAGAGTGAGTCCGTGTTTAAGGATATTGTTAATTCGTTTGGAGAATACTGTGACGTTGACCGTAAGTTCATAGGTGATCCCAATGCTTCTTTTGTCAGCGTTAAAATCAATCGTTTCTTGGGAGTTCCTTGCCCGAGACAATAAGATTACAAGTGGGCCATGATTTGTTTTTGATTGATGTGAATTTGGAGGGTACATGCACGCCAGTAGATAATCCTCACAAAGTTTACTTGGCGTCTCCGCCTTGTGAGATACAACGTCCTGAGAAGGAATGGACTGAAGTGCAGAAGGGAGTGGCAAAACAGGTTCCGGCGAAAGTTGACCGGGAATTTTTGAATTGGGATGGTGGAGTTTCCGTGCCGATGAGGTTTTACTGGAAAAAATTGAATTGGGCCAGGAAGAATTTTGGGCGTTTCCAACACCAGGTTCTGAAACGGCATACTGTTACAAAATATTTACAGATCCGAAAAATGAGGATTCCAGCGGGGCGCTTCCCGGATTCCTCTTCATTGCTTTCCTTTCCGACACCATCTATGCGGAGTGTTTCAACTTAATGATATCTAATGTGGTCAATAGGGGCAATTTTGTGGGATTTTAGGTGGGGCAGGGCGGTCCTATTATTTCTTACCTATAGTATGCAGATGACACTCTAATCTTTATGGAGGCCAAGAAGGAGTATATTGAATATATTGGCAGAGTTTTGAGGTGTTGCGAGGTAGCGGTAGGGTTAAAAGTAAATATTGCAAAAACTTCTTTGGTGGGTATTAATTATAACGGAGGACTGACTGAGGTACTGGCTATGACTCTTGGATGCAAAGTGGAAAAATTCCCCATTATTTATCTGGGGCTTCCTATTTCGATTCCAGATTTCCTATTTCTGTATAGGACATAATAATTCAAAGTGCTCAAACAAAATTGGATTTATGGAAGCCTAAGTATCTGTTGCTTGGGGGATGTATAACTTTGGTTAAGTCGTGCTTGACAAACTTACCTATTGATCATATGTCTCTTTTGAAAATGGCAGCAATTATAGTTAAGAAAATTGAGAAGATGCTACGTGGTTTTCTATAGGGGTCTTTTGAGGAGAATAGCAAATATCATTTATTAAGATGGGATAGAGTTTGTACCACTAAATGCAAAGGGGGTCTTGGTATTTGAAGAATGGCTTTGATAAATGAGGCCTTGTTGACAAAATAGTGGTGAGGTATTTTGTTGTTCAAAGATCAGCTTTAGTGTAAGGTTCTTATTGCAAAATACAGTTTTGATAGGTCTGGCGTTTGGATTGGAGGAGGTAAAAGAAGTGCATCAAGGTCTATTTTTTGGAAAGATATTTTTCTGTTCAAAGCCTATCTACATAGAGAAATCAAGTGGTGTGTGGCCAATGACACTCTAGTTTCGTTTTGGCACCATAAGTGGCTAGGTAATAGCCTTTTAAAGATTTCCTTCCCTGATTTATTTGCTAAGGCCTCTTTCCCTAATGCTTTGATATGTAAAACCTATCAGGTTG